ATCCCCTCCACCACCAGCTGGATGATGCGACGGCAGCCATAGTGCGCCAGTACTCCCCCCACACACCAGCTCTCAGTGGGGAGGAGAGCAGAGTGATGAAGCCAATTCAGAGAGGGGGATTATTAGGAGGCCATGATTGATAGAGGCCAGGGGGAAATTTGACCAGGATGCCAGGGTAACACCCCTACTCTTTTCGAGAAACGCTTGGGATTTTTAACAACCTCAGAGAGTCAGGACCTCGGTTTTAGATCTCATCCAAAGGACGGCGCCTTTTTTAACAGTATAGTGTCTCGTCCCTATACTGGAGCATTATGACCCACACAAACCACAGGGTGAGCGCCCCCTACTGGTCCCACTCACACCACTTCCAGCAGCAGAGGTCTCCCTTCCCTTCAGTGGGTTGTTAATTGTGAGTTGCAGGGTGATGTGGCTGCTGGCAACAGGTACAGTATGTGCAACAGATCTACAGTTAAATGCTTTAATCCAGGGACAGGAGATGTGGAGTGGGTTTGAAGTGTGAATTGTAACAAAAACACACGAAAGAAAAAAAAGACAAAACCCGGCGAGACCCGGGCTGGCAGCGGGTTCCTCTGTGCGCCGCTACAGGGCGGCTGTAGTTGTCGCTGCAGAGCGCGGCGGGGTGTGTCTTGGGTGCCTTGGCGCAGCAGGGTGGCACAGCGATCAGGCACCTGGCCCTCCCGCTGAGAAGACTGCGGGTTCAAACAGCTGGTTACAGGCTGCTATTGCACGCACGGGCAAGGCGCTTCACCTGAATTGGCCAAGGAAACTGCCGAGCTCTGCCAATGGGCGCCAGTGTCCCTTGAATTGGATAGAAGCGTTACACCAATAAATTAGTCCTAGTGTCTTGCATTACTAGGAAGGGCCACGGAACGCCCTGTAATGAATCTCTGTCAGGGCTGCGCGTTGATCACGTTTTATGAGGTTGAACTGAGTGTTGAGAAAAGATTTGCAACCGGCTCGATGATTTAGTTAAATAATATTTCCGCGCGTGATTCTACCGGCCGTATCGCTTCGGTGAATTCCGGCGAATCCAGGCTCGGCCCCTGGTTTAAAGTAATCTATCTACAAAAACGATTTCCTCTGTTGGAGAGGCTACATCTGAATGAAGCAAAGGGAGGAACTGTTGCCCCCACATCACGCAGGGTAATCTCCCACAGAGTCGTTTTCCATGACTCATCAGGATTTTCCTGGAGTGCACGGCTCAGCAGATTCCGCTATGTGACTGCGATGAGGTGGGCCGGCGCAGAAACTGTTATCTTGAGACTAAAGAGCATAAAATATAGCGACAGCCGCGGGGAGGGGGGGTGGTGGTCGCAAGGGAGCGCGCAGCTATGCAGAAGCGAATCGATAGCTGGGCTGTTTCTAATTGGAGCAGAAGCTCGTCAGGGGATTCCCGAGAAGCACAGATCAGTCTTTCCTCTTCGCCTCGGTTGCAGAAGAAACGCGTCCAAATTCAACTTTCTGCGCATCCCAGAGCGACTATTAACGCCCCCCCCCCCCCCTAACGCCAAATTAATTTTTTTTTGAGGGGGGGAACTGAGCGAGACTCCCGGAATAATTGGCCACCATGAGATGGTAGACCGTTTTCTCTTGATTATAAACAAATAAAATCTCAAACGAAATCAGGAGCCGGTAGCCGACGGCGTGAGCTATCGGAGAGGTCGCCTGGAAAGCGCTCTGGGGTTATCACTAGAGTCTTTCCCCAGCTCTCTTGTAGAGCAAATCTCAACAGCTTCTCAATAAGCACAATTACTTTCTCTTATGTATCCCCGGCTCGCGGGTGTTTGCGGTTTTGTTTTACGGCTTTAGCCATTCTTTCACAGCTTTAGACATGACCTTCTGCTAAAAGCTCAGTCGTTTATGATCTGCGGGCGGCAGAAGCGATCTTCTTGAGAACGGACTCATCTGCCTGTGCTTTGTGGCTGCAGTAACTTTCTGCTTGCCTCCACCGTCCCAACGCACCGAAGCGTGCTTTGACGTGCAAGTGCGATTGTGTCTTTGTGTTTCTTGAACGGTAGCTTGAGGCTCAGCGATCGGGATGCCTTGGTTGTTATTTCAGTAATTCGCTTTCAAGAAAACACTTCTTTGAGGTCAGGGGTCGCGGCTTGTGTCGCTCTCCCCAGAACGCGCATTCCAAGCGAGCCTGGGCCAGAATTTACAGGTGCAGTACCAGTTTCCAGCTCGGAGGCGGTCGAGACCCAGTCTCAGAATGACCCGTTGTATTACAACTGTTCCGGCACCTGGTCTCGACCAGCGTGTCGTACCGCTCTGACGTATTCGTTTACGGCTATCCGATTTGTACTGTAGACACCTGTCAGGTTTGCGATCAGCGTCTGGATGCCTTTTCGACCTGAAGAGCGGAAAGTGAAGGTCAGCGAAGGAATGAGCACCTTCTGTACTGGAATTGGC